AGTCAGAATATCCGCCAAATGGTTGTGCTCTTAACTAAGTTATAAATAGAAATACTTTATAGAGCTAAGAGAATCCGCAATCGTGAAGCAGATTAAATACTGAATAGGGGACTAAGGAGAGCCTCGGGAGTTATTTCAGCCGTGGCAGCATAAAGTTATTTGCTAAAATTGCTTCCATAGAAACGAAACTGATATAACTTGCCTTCCCTGCGAGATATGCTACAGCAAAACATCATCTTAATGATATAAACTACAGGATTATCAGTAACGCAAATCAACGTACATAAAAAATTCGATGTAGATGGCGAAAACGCCTTGCTCGAGCAGAGAAAGCGCAATGAGTCCCACAAAATATAATGACCAAATACGCAATAGGATTCGTCAAAGGCATGAATAAATAAGATGGCAACTGAGTTGTCAAAATAATGACTTAGAAACTCAGGATGGAGAGATGGCCCTATATTATAAAGGATTAAGATAGTCCATATGCTTCATTGATGCAAAAGAGGCTTGCTTATGAATCAAAAAAGGATGTTCCAAGTCATTATTTATATTTTGACTTTGAATGGACTTGGCATTAAAAATTGGCCTAACTTCAAAGGCAGATTTTTCTCATAGCTATGCAAAGGTGTCTGACACAAGTAATTAATCCACATTGAGTTGTCCGAAATAAGTGAAGGCTGGAATGGAGTACCAACATGGGTATCATCTTTTGTATCCAAATTAAGGAGACCTAGAGCCGGCCAAGGGAGGTCGTACTTTAGTGCGACAAAAATGACAGCATGTTTAACATTAGGATGCAAGAAGTCAAAGGGTTGAAATGATGATAAAATAATTTGACTAAATGGAAGTTGTGCCAAGGCCAATTTGTGTGGTGGAGAACTAAGTAAATACTCATGTCGGGCGACGAATATGCGAAAAGCCGCTTCACAGACCGCCAGATAAATCCTGTTGTTAAGGGATGTCTTGTTTTTATAAGGAAACGTCACACACCAAACAATCATATCGTTCAAGACACTAATTATTAGATCTCTAGAACAGCACTTAAGTCTAACAAGAATGTCCGCAAGATAGGATAAAAAGATTACTGAGTGAGTATCCCCAATGGCAATCACAAAAGAGTTCCACAAAAACTCAACCAAATTTATGAGAATACCGGGCTTCAAGCTAGAAATATAACAGACCAAGAATGAAAAGGATTCTGATTTTGTTCCTGTAAGCTTGATACTTTCACCAAATAGCTTTTTAATTAGAAAAAACACCTGACATAGTTTCGTCCAGTCAAGTTCATTTCTGGCTGACGCGCACAACCTAGGGACACATTTAGCCATTATCCAAGTCAAAGTGGTTAATTTATTAGAAGAATCTACATTATAGGCGCATAATTGTGTCAATAACTCCACAAATTCCACTCTAACGGATTTCTCAGAACCTAAAATGTCTACGAGGGAGTCGAATGCTTCAACAAAAGACAAGGATGCAGGGGATAAATTGACTTCACAATCTAACGACAGCCGCGCCAACGTCTGCAACATATCTAGACGATATGAAAACTGAAAAGGTACGTCTTTGGAGACAAAAATTTCAGATAGACAGAAAGAAAAGTAAGCAATCTCATTTAGAGATCTGAACCAAGAAGGAGTGGAGGTAAAAACACTATCACATATAGACCGTTCAGCTTGCGGGAAATGACTCAGTAATTCCAGCAGAAGTAAAGTGGATGATTGATGGTAGGCTGCATAGTCAGTTCGCGAACAGTCGGCTTGTAGTAGAAGGGCACAAAGCAATTGGGTCGTTTGTGCCAGGCTTTCTGGCACAACTTCAGCCAAGGAAGAGAGCAACTGGATGAAGGTACGAACCAGATCCGAGCTTTCAGAAGTTATCCATTCAATGCGATGACAGATTGCTGTTGTGAGCTGTTGCTGCAAGCTTTCAGGAATATTTCGTAGATTCTTGTCAACGGTATCTAGAAGTCTGACAAGGCAATCATTAGAAATTTCTCCTTCGCTATGAGCTAAAAGATTCAGAATCTTATTAAAACACGAAAAATCATTTTTATTTATAGATAGAATCGCTGCCTCAATGTCCATTTTCGTTAAACAACAAATGCACGTGCAAAGGAAGCAAATCCCGCGCACTTAAACATAGAACGAAGAGAAATGCAGAGTGATAAAATCAAAGTATTTAAGCAAAAGAGCTGTTGTTATGCAGCTTAATAAAGGTCTTATCAAATATAATATTGTTATGAAACTGCTTTTATTTTTAATTTCTAAAAATTAAACTAGAAGACAAATTATGTCCAAAATGAGTAAAATAGTGCATTATATCGATCAAAAGAATTATAGTGATTACATGCGA